ACAAATCTGTACTTTATTCAGCCTAATATCTATAACATTTAATGTTATATCCTGTTTCGATGTGAACCGTGCACATGATGATGAAGTTATCACTGGATAACGTTTCTATCTTTGACAAATAACTTATAAAAAAAAAAAAAACATATTTACACATTCAGGAATTATCGCTACCAGAACATGGTGTCAAAATACTCCTCTCGTTCTGTGAATGTGATTTTCCCAATAAAATACAAACTTTTCTTATACAACACAGTTTTACTGAAGAGCGTACAACAGACATGATGGATGCACAACGTTCAGCCAGTTTATAACAAATATGTAAAACTGCTGCACATTCTAACCACTTAAAATGTTTCATGCATTCATCTGTTAGAAACAAAAACAACGATTTCAAAATTAGCACAGCTACAGTGTAAAATGCTTTGGTTTGTACGTTTTGCAGACCGTTTCAGAAGACGCCTCGAACTGAAACATTTTCACGTCGGTGAAAATTCCGAAATTGTTTTTCTTTAAATTTTAATCCAGGATTTTTTTTCTTAAAAGCATCAGAAATCAAATTTGAATCAGTAAATTTGACTTTGTCCGCCCTGACCCTCATTCAGAACTGACAGGCTTGTGGAAGGAGAGGTGAAACATTTAAACATCGTCCCGGAGACTTTATGTTCTGGTCGACACAAACACTCTGGGAAGACAACAGAAGTAAAGAAACCCATTTTGGGAACATTTTGGAAAAAATACAGAGAATACTCACTGTAGCAGTGATCTCTGAAAACTTTGCTGCTATTGTATCTAAAAGCAATGCATTTACTTATTTACTTATAACTTTAACAAAGAACATTTTCTGAATAGACACAAAGAAAATAATTAAAATCACTCACCTGCGCTGTAGTTCCTCCTCAGTAATGGACCAATTGCTGCTTCATGAGTATTATTACAGTAAAGGTTTAGGCATTTACAAGGGAATTCTTTTGAAATGTACCAGTTTCTTATATTGCGCTCAATGCACAGATTATGTTATTTTTCAGGATTTATTCAATTCAATTCAGTTTATTTATACAGCGCCAAGTCACAACAGAAGTCATCTCAGGGCACTGAACAGAAACATCCATATATAAAAATAATAATTTAACATTATTTGTCTGAGGAGCAGCTTTGAGTTTAACTCCATCACAGAACTCATCTTGAGCAAGCATGAAGGCGACAGTGGAAAGGAAAAACTCCCTCATGAGGAAGAAACCTTTAGTAGAATCAGGCTCAAGTCAAGTGGCCATCTGCTTCGGCCAGCTGAGTTTGGTAGGAACAGATACACAATGGCAGGTCAAGCATCACATGTTAAGATAGAAATAGAATCAAATGAAAACTATTCAATTTTAGCAAATCATTTAAGGAAATTAGGTCAATTTGTCCTCCATTAGTCTGAGCTTAAGGAAACATAACAAGCCAACGCTAACTATAGGATTTATCAAAAAGGAAAGTCTTAAAACTGGACAATGTGTCAGCCTCATGGACAGAAACTGGAAGTTGGTTCCACAAGAGAGGAGCCTGATAACTGAAAGATCTTCCTCCCATTCTGCTTTTGGAAACTCTAGGAACCACAAGTAAGCCTGCAGTCTGAGAGCGAAGTGCTCTGTTAGGAAAATATGGAACAATAAGAGCTCAACTATAAGATGGAGCAAAGTTGTTGAGAGCTTTGTAGGTAAGAAGTACGATTTTGAATTCTATTCTGGATTTGACAGGGAGAGAAGCTAAAACTGGTGAGAGATGATCTCTCCCACTAACTCCAGTTAAGACTGGCAGCAGCATTTTGGATCAACTGAAGACATTTTAAAGAAGTATTTGGACACCCAGATAATAAACCATTGCAATAGTCCAGTCTAGACGTGACAAATGCATGAACCAGATTTTCTGCATCATTTTTAGACGTTTCTAATTTTAGTGATATTACGCAGGTGGAAGAAGGCGGTTCTAGGAACGTTTTTAATGTGGAGGTTAAAAGACATGTCCTGATCAAAAATAACACGAAGATGTTTAACATTAGAGCTGGAGGACAGATTAATGCCATCCAAGGAGGGAGAAGGACTAAAAAATGTATTCCCAAAATGTTCAGATCCAAAAACTAAAACCTCAGTTCTGTCTGTGTTCAAAAGCAGAAAATTTAGCATCATCCAGGTTTTATGTCTTTAAGGCATGCTTGTAGTCTAAATAACTGATTGGATTCATTGGGTTTCATGGACAAATATAACTGTATCATCAACATATGAAAATTTATCCCA